AGACCACCTAGGAGGGATTGAGTTCGATCTGCAGCTTTTGTGGAGTGCACAGACTTTTGATTCCCCGTATCAGCTGTGGAGGGCAACCAGCTCCTATAACAGGTGAAGAAGAAGGACTGTGGCTACAGTTGGCTTTATAGCTTCCTTCAGCAGAATGGTGTTCGTGCATGCTGAGAATGCCAGTCTTAACAGCATCCTGGAGCGAAGTGTCCAGTTCAATCATACTAGCACTTAATTTCTCTCTCTGCTGTTATGGCATTAGCCGCTAGCATGAAACTTTATTTCTGTTTATCTCCTGAGTGGCCTTGATAAATCCTCTAATCTGTTTTGATCTTGCATAAGCAGAAAGGCTCTTTTGGGCATAGGATATAAGAATGGAGGTAGAATAAGTGAATGGCAACAGTCTCATCTGTTCGATGTCCTGAACACATGATCAGGGCTTTATATATATATAAATGCTTATAATTTTTTTATTCTCCAAGAACTTCTCACCATATTAACAGCCTATCGTTTGTAGGGGCTTGGTAATGGGATATGGAGTCTTTGGGCCTGATTTTCGGTTGCTTTGCCCCTGTGTAACTCTGGGGTAAATGACTGCACAAGGTGCAAGGCAACTGAGAATAAGGTTTCCATTCACTTCTATGGCAACAGCTGAATTAAACCCTGGTTGGTGGGTAGCCCCTAATTTTGTTATTAATCTGGTGGCTCCTTTGTCCTCCTCCTCCAGCTACGCTCTGTATCATCTTATATAAAAGACACCTCTTCAAAACCCCTCCTTCTCTTTATCCAGTTGCCTCCTCTCCTCTTCTCGGTGTCCTATCTTCTGTTTGTTTACCTGAAATTGTAGGCCCTTTACAGCAGGGAATGTGTCTTACCTATGGGTCTGATTCTGATACCCTCACTCAATGGAACTACTTGTAGAATGAAATCCCTTTACTCAGCCAGTAAAGTAGTATTTGAATCTGGCCCTATGTTAGTAAGCACTATATACCTTTATGGCAGTACCTATATGGTTCCTCATAACAAGGATTGTTGGTGGCCTATGTAAAATGGATTCAGTGACCTCAAGTCCAGTCATCAGGATCTGCCTGGTGGACAGACTCAGCAAAGGGAGCTAGAATCGAATGGCCTATGGAACCTGCATTACCTCAAGCGTTTGAAAGGAGGCACATAGGAGGGCAGCTTTCACTGCTACAGCCGACGCTGTATCCGTCATGTGAGTAAAGGAAGAGCTTAATCTCCAGGGCTGTCAATCCAGTTCCTTTCAAGTGTACTGAATTCATTTTTGGGGGGAGAGACAAAACATCTGTGTAAGTAGCATAGAGGTACTGGTAGTGACTTCATTCCTAAGGGCGCATTGAGATTTGCGCTTTAAAGCAGGATTTCAATCCCTGTGTTTCACAGTTTAATTAAAATTAAGGCTGTTCTTGATAGAAGTATTTACGCTATGATCCAGAAATATCTTCATTCACTCTGCTTTTCTTGCTATCATTTCAGTAAATGATCCCATGTCTCTCATCCACCTGTGTTTGTGCTCACAGGCAAACAGAGCATCTTTAAACATTGTGGACCAAATTCTCATCCCTGCTGTAACTCCACTGGAATTGATGGACTTACACCTGGTGGTGGTGGTTCAAAACTTTTATCTTCAGTATTAGAATAGTGCAACATGCATGGATAATCATTTGTACTAATGAGAAAATGCTGGATGCAAAAAGCTATGCAACTGCCCATCTGATAAACGTTTCCAGGCAGGTAAACAACTCCCAGATTAATACGGTAACCATGGCATCTCCCATCTGTTTCCAGGAAGGACTATTCTGGAGAGTACACAATCTACTTAATCCCTTGTACTGTGCAGCCCACGCAGCCGTGGATTGACCCAGGAGACAAGCCATTGGCATGTACTGCTCATGCCCCAGAAAGGTGAGGAGAGGCGCTATTCTCCTGTTTCACTGCTCACTCAGACCCCAAGGCCTGCGTTCAGAGTTGGTACAAATGGGTTAACCTCAAGGGAGTGGAGCGTATGAGTAACTGATAGTTTGTGGAGTTGGAAATGAAGAACTCTCCAATGAAAGAGATTGAAATGTGTGGATATAGGAATGAAGAATAGTTATATTGAGATGTGAATGTGGTTGGGGTACACAAATTTCATAGATATTAAAGAAAGCCACACACAAACAGAAGGTGTGCAGTGGAATATGCCCCCAGAGGAGGTGGTGCAGGGTACACAGCACCACAAGCTGAAATGGCTTAGATAACAGTGTTGACTTTGTGCTAGCTTTACAAGGAAGTGGTCTGTCTGCTTGCATCATTTGCATGGAGACAGTAGGCATCTGACATGAGCTATAACAACAGCAGAAACGAGAGGGGAGAAAACTCTCTATTGGCTTTGGATTCTAGCAGTGAATGAGATTGTCCTCCATGAAAATAGTAGAACAGGGCTCCCTCAACATTAAATCTATAGTTTGACTGGAGCCCCTCAGAACGGTTTGTAACACGGCTAATTTCACTACGTCTGAGCACTTGGTTCGGATGTCAGCAAAAAATGGTCAGAAAGGCAGGGGAAAGCATGATATCTCTTTTTGTTTCCTTTTGCTTCTGTCAAAGACAATCTGTGGAGTTACATAGGCCTGATCGTCACCGGGGCTGAATATCAGTGGCTCCAGGGGGAGTTGCAGTACTCAGGACATCTGAAAATCAGAACCACGTTGTTCTTGTTCTCCTTTTGGGGTGAAGTTCACTGCCCCCGCCCACATACACTCAGACAGAGTAACTGGGCTGCGTGCGGGGTACTAAGCAGGAGTTGGGTTGTGAAAGATGAAATTTACTGTCTTAATCTCTGGCTCTTTTTTGATCGCTACTAAAGGTGGGTTAGTGGCCACTGTCTTTCTCCATCCCTTATGGGGCATTTGGGTATATGAAACTCACGCTCGTTCCCTTGGCCTGCCTGCAAACCCCAGATCAATGATGGTTTAGTCAGTCCCAGTTCCGGGGCTTGCAGGTGATGCAGAAGCCCACAACTAATCTGCCTGCTCCCCCCCCCGAACAGAAGTTGATTCAGTAAAAGATATTACTTCACCCACCTTGCGTCTCTGCTCCCCACTGGACAGCCCTGCCTGTAGACTTAAATAGTGTGCAGTAGCCCTCTTCAACTGAGAAAATTTCACTCTTGATGCATAGCCTTTCTACCAGGCAACAGCTATTTGTTATTAATGAGGGTTGTGCCCCATATGCTCCAGTTTGAGCAAATAAACAGTAGGAAATAAAGCTCCAAAGTGTCAAACAATAGTACCACAGCTGCTGGGTTCTTCTATAGACTCCCATTCTCTCAGCAGATGCTGCATCTCTGGAGGAAAACGCTGACTTGTGACAGCTGCAGCTCAGGGGAAGATAGGGATCTAACGTCTAGTCTACACACAAATTTTGTAGAACTGTGTTGGTTAGAGGGTGTGATTTTCACTCTAGTGTAGATGGCAATAAGCTAAACCAGCATAAGTACCTTTATATCGGTATAACTGGGTCCATTCTAGGATGGTGTGTACCAATTTCACTATATGGGGATGTTTAAAGTGGCATAACTTACGTGTGTGGACAAGTCCAAGCTGCATTTCCTTCTTTTCTTTCTGAGTGCTTGCTCATGTCCATTCCATATTAGGTGTGTGTGCTTGGCACCAGTGCCGGAAGTTTTTCCCTCAGCAGTATCTTTAGGGGGTGCCAGAGCCCATCCCCTGGAGTGGCGCCCGCATAGCGCGGTATAAGGGGTGTGGCCGGCTCCCCCCACCCTCATTTCCTTCTTGCCACCAGTGACGGTGCTGGAACATCTGCTGCTTCGGCTAGCATTGTTTCATTTTCTGTTCTTGTGAACTTTGAAAACCTTTAGTATAGTTGTATATAGTTAGTGGTTTCTTAGTTACCCTTAGTAGTAGTTCTCAACTTTTTGTGAGTCCCAAACGGGACTCAGCCGGGGGACAGGGCATGCCCTGGTCCCCAGGCTTTACGCCCTGCAAACGGCTGATGCCCATCAGCGATCCACATACCAGTTGCCTAAGGTTCTTAGGCGAAGGGCACAGCAATGACAAGTGCCATATCTGCAAGTCCTTTAAACCTAGGATGAAGAAGGAGTTCAATATCCATCTGAAAGTGCTCCTAATGGAGTCGGCACTCACTCTGGCAATGGAGCAACGGGTCGACTCTGCACCGAGCACCACGGCCTTCGTGCGCAGTCGGTGCCATCCATGAGCCGGCACCGATCCCGCTCCACGGCTCTGGGGAAGAAGCCGAAAAAGACTGGGAGGGGAAGATCTCCTTCCCCCCCGTAAGGGACAGGAAAGGGCTGGGGGGTGAGTCACAACCCGTGCTAGGCAGCTCAACACCCCCTTTGGGAAGTTGGGCTCCAGCTCAAGTCAAGCAGTGCAGCTTGACCCATGCTTCGCCTGCGACCCTGGATAGCGGTGCAGGCCCTGGCCAGCTTCAGGTGCTGTCGACATCCGAAGCTCTTCAAGTGGCTCAGGAGATTCTGACGTTCCCGGTGCCGCCCACATTGGCTCCCGTGGTACCTCGGTCTTGGGGAAAACCCGCGTTGGGACCTATGCGTGTGTCCCAGCCTCAGCATTACCGATCCACATCGAGAGGGACATCCTGCCAGTGTTCACCCACCCGAAGCCGTCATGCCTCAGGACTGGAGAGGCAGGCTCAGCAGAGCCCTCTTTGGTCACCACACTGGGGCACTGATCAAGAGACTAGAGGTGTACCTCGCCAGTAGATTGGTGCAGACCCTCTGAGGCATGCGCCACCCGACAAGAGCTCTGGGACCGGCCCCGACCGTCTCCCAGGGCCCGGGACTGATCCTGGGACCGATCGGACACCAGAGACCGCCGATCACTGGGCCATCATCGCCTGTCTCCAAGAAGGAGATCGCCCTTTTGGCAGTTAATCACAAGGAGAGGCAAGGACAACCTGGGGCCAACCCCAAAAATAAAGACTCGAGGAGGCTTGATCTCATTGGACGTAAGGTTTATTCGTCTTCCAGCCTTCAGCTGAGAGTGGCCAACCACCAAGCTGTCCTTGGCCGATATGACTTTAATATGTGGCAAGCCATGGCCAAGTTTGAAGGGTCACTTCCCAATGCTTCCAAGGAGTTCCGAGTGATCCTCAATGAGGGCACAACTGCAGCCAGGGCAACCCTACAGGCAGTGTCAGAGCTCCGGATGCTGCTGCCCACACCATGGCTTCCGCTATCTCCATGCGGTGAGTTTCTTGGCTGCTCCTCTCTGGGTTGTCCACCAAGGCCCAGCAGTCCTTGAAGGATCTGCCCTTCGACGGCAGGACCCTATTTACGGAGCAAACAGACAGCAAGTTGCATGGCCTCAAGGACTCCCGCACCAACCTGAAAACTCTGGGTCTCTATGTCCCAGCCCCGGCGCGTAAGCGGTTCAAACCGCAGCAGCCTCAGGGCCAGGGGAGCCAGCCCCGGCAGGACCAGCCCCATAAACAAGCCAAAGGTAACAACCGCCGCCCGAGCCACTTGCCTCTACCCTCAGCACAGTCGGGCTCTACCCATAATAAGCAGGGGGCCAAACAGTTGTTTTGAGGGTGTGCCTGAGGGCAACCCACCAGATTATTCCCTGGATCCATCTTTCCCAGTGTTCTTCAACTGCCTTTCCCCTTTCCCCCCGGCTGGGTCCTCAGCACAGTGGAAGGGGGTTATACCCTCCAGTTCCTTTCTCCCCCGCCCCCTTCTCATCCGCCTTCCCCGTCCCTCTTCAGGGACCCCTCTCACGAGAGTCTCTTCGCGCAGGAGGTAAAGGGGTTGCTACAGCTGGGTGCGGTGGAAGATGTTCCTCTCGAGTACAGGAACAAGGGGTTCTATTCCCAGTACTTTTTAATCCCAAAGGTCCAGGGCGGTCTGCGGGCCATCCTGGACCTGCCAGACCTCAGCAAGTATCTACAGAAGCTAAAGTTCCACATGGTCTCTCTGGTTCTATTAGCTCCTCCCTGGATCCGAGAGACTGATATGCTGCCCCCGACTTGAAGGACACATACTTCCACATAGCGATCTTTCGAGGACACAGACACTTCCTCTGGTTTATGGTGGGGCCCCACTACTACCAGTTTATCGTCCTCCCGTTCGGCCTGGCAACAGCACCGAGAGTGTTTACCAAGTGCCTGTCGGTGGTGGCAGCTTACCGCAGGCACCGGGGTATCCAGATCCACCCATATCCCAATGACTGGCTCGTCAAGGGCGGCTCCAGATCTCAAGTCCAAAGGGATGTTGCGGTGCTTCAAGCACTGTGCCACTCTCTGGGCCTATTGGTGAACAACAAAAAGTCAGCGTTAGTGCCAGTGCAGAGGATAAAGTTCATCGGAGTGGTCCTTGACTCGACCTGCGCCAGAGCATTCCTGCCGCTGGAAAGATTCCACGTGATGGCAAACCTCATTGTGGACATCTCAGCGTTCCCTCTGCCTACAGCCAGGGTCTGCCTGGGCCCGCTGGGCTACATGACAGCATGCACTTACGTGGTCCACCATGCCAGACTCCGGATGCAGCCCCTGCAACAATGGCTGGTGACGGTCTATTCCCAGTCCTGAGACTCCTTGGAGAAGATAGTTACCATTCCCCAGGCGATACTTACCTCGCTGCGATGGTGGACCACTGGACAGTCCTGGAAGGGGTTCCATTCGACAACCCCCCTCACTCCATCAAGTTGGTGTCAGACATCTTGGACCTTGGACCCCAAGTAGACCTGTTCACTACCAGACAGAACAGGAAACGCCACCGGTTTTGTTCTCGACCGGGTCTTAGCAAGGACTCCCTCTCCGATACCTTCCTCCTGTTGTGGTCAGGGAGCCTGGTGTACTCTGTGATAAATGGGGGGGAGGAAGGGGTAGCTCCCTTTGATGGACAGCCAGTTAGCTGTAAAATCCCTCTTGGTAGCTGTTCTCTACTTGCTTTACCTGTAAAGGGTTAAAAAGTCCCTCAGGTAAAGAAAAGAAAGTGGGCACCTGACCAAAAGAACCAATGGGAAGGTAGAACCTTTTAAAATTGGGAAGAAACTTTCCCTTTGTCTACTGTTCTCTGGGCTGCAGGGACACGGAGCAGCAATGCTATAAGCAGAAATGGTGTGTAAGGTTTGAACCAGGTATGAACAAATTATTTTCCATACCTAGCAGGACTCACTGGGATAGGGAATGTTTAGGTAGACGCGATCAGGTTTATTTTTTTATTTTGGCTTGTGGATCTCCTCTGTGCTAACTCCAGATGCTTTTGTTTGCTTGTAATCTTTAAGTTGAACCTCCAAAAAAGCGATTTTTGGAATTTATCTAGCAAAAGCCTAAGTTCCAAATGTATTTTCTTTCTTTTTGTTTTTAATAAAATTTACTTTTTTAACAGGATTGGATTTTTGGTGTCCTAAGACACCAAATGTTGCCTATGTTGTTTAATTAGCTGGTGGCAACCGCTAATTTCCTTTGTTTTCTTTCTCAGCTCTTCCCCGGGGGGGGAGGGTGTGAAAGGGCTTCAGGGTACCCCACAGGGAGGAATTCCCAAGTGCTCCTTCCTGGGCTTAAGGGGGTTTTTTTGCATTTGGGTGGTAGCAGCGTTTACCAAGCCAAGGTCAGAGAAAAGCTGCAACCTTGGGAGTTGAATACAAGCCTGGAGCGGCAAGTATTAATTTTTAGAATGCTTGCGGGCCCCCACTTTCTGCACTCGAAGTGCCAGAGTGGGGATTCAGCCCTGACTTATGCCTTCCCTCCAAGTCCACTCATCAGCAGGGCCCTGGCAAAGATCAAGAGAGACCAGGCACAGGTTATCATGATTGCCCATGATCTCCTACCCATCTCCAGGGGTACTACTTTGGAGTCACCTAATATGGAACGGACATGAGCAAGCACTTGAAGAAGAAAAGACAGTTACCTTTTCCATAACTGGTGTTCTTCGAGATGTGTTGCTCATGTTCATTCCATGACCTGCCCTCCTTCCCCACTGTCGGAGTTTCCAGCAAGAAGGAACTGAGGGTGGGGGGAGCTGGTGGCGCCCTTTATACGACACCATGCGGGCGCCAATCCAGGTAGTGCCAGAGCCAGTCCCCTATGGATACTCCTGAGGGAAAAACTTCCGGCACTGGTGCATGTGATGAGCACACACACCTAATATGGAATGGATATGAGCACCACATCTCAAAAAACACCAGTTACGGAAAAGGTAACTGTTTTTTTTTTCCCTCCTCCCAAATTTAGATTTTTGATCCCAATTGCCTTCCAGCAGACAAACCGCCCAGTTCCTGTCGTGTACTCTCTGAACACAGAGTTTCAGCTCTGTAACAATGAGAAAGTATTTTTGATGGATCCCACTAAATCTGAAATGTCTTTGGCAGAAATGGATTACAAAGGAGCTTTTTCAAAGGGTAAGACCTTTTCCTTCGCCTTGTTAATTTACTTTAGCTAAAGGGTCTGTGCTGCCTCTATTATTGTGTAAGAGAAATGATGTGATATCGGAGATTTGTCTTGCCTATGTGAGCATGCTATGTTACAGAATCATGCTACAACCCTGTCAGACCATGACTATAACTGTTGTATAATACAGTCATACCACAATATGGCACCATCTACATAGGCAACTCTAAACCCTGTCATAATACTATTCCCCAGCCTGGTTGATTTGGCTGTGTAGGTAGTCTCTTTAGTCTTTCTGAATTGCTCCTCTTCCTCCCATGAATATAAATATGACTATTATTCTCTCAACCTTCTCAGGTCAAATCCTATATGGCCGTGTGCTTTGGAATCCTGAACAAAATCTAAATGCTGCTTACAAACTGCAGCTGGAAAAAGTCTATCTCTGTACTGGCAAGGATGGTTATGTGCCTTTCTTTGACCCTACTGGAACAATCTATAATGAGGGGCCACAGTATGGCTGTATTCAACCCAACAAGCACTTAAAACACAGATTTCTGCTACTGGTAGGTTGTACACTGGACAAAATTGTGACATGGAATTGTGGCAGCTGTGGAGTTGTGGGTAGTTATGTCAGGGCAGATTCTGGAACCATCTCTTTGCTAAACTGTGTGACAATTCGTGACAGGAACACTTTGTATTTCTAATACTGCCTTTGGTCTGATAAAATTCCACGGAGAGCCATGAGGTTGAGCAAATCTCAAAGACACAGTTCACATCACAAAATTACTGACTGGAGATGGAGACGAAACTACTTTCTAACCCAGGTCAGGGGTGAGGCACGATGAGGCCCATTCCAGATGAGGAAAATGAGCCATTTGGCAAGCACAATAGCTAACACATCTTAAATAGCATGTTTTAAACAGCACCTCGTTTAGACAAGGGCAGTGACATTGAAAACACACTTTGGCTTGTCGTGGGTAACGCTACGGTCCCTGTGTTTAGCTAACGTGTTCGTGAAATGGCACTACGTTTTCCTAGCGTAGACAGGCCCTGACTGGACGCTTGCCCAGCTGTTGGCCACACGGTGCACATTCTGTGTATAAAACAACCTCATGTTCTAGGGTTGATCCAGCATCTTTCATGAGCATTAAATTCGCTTTCTCTTCTTCACAGACACCCTGTAACTTTTAAACCCAGGCTGTTTATTTGATCCATAGCTCACATTTTTTTAGTCCGCTCAATCACTCTCCTCAGGCCTTGTCTACACCAGGCTTTTTTGTCTCCAAGTTTGCAGCATGGTTCCCAGTGCAGGTAGACAGACAATAGCAGCGTGACCGTGGCAGATCAGGCTAGCCACCCGAGCATGTACCCAGGGATCAGGCAGGTTTGTACTAGGGTGGTTAGCCTGAGCTACACACTTCAGTTTTCAGCATGCTAGCTAAAGGGATCCCCTGGAGGCAACCTTACACCTGTGTGCCTCAGTGCCAGCACTTGGGGAAGCCTCCCTTGCCTGGATACAAGGCCTTTCGGGCTCTTTTATGCCACTCTAGCCCCTTTATGCGGCATAAGTGGGCTGGAGCGGGGGTGAGGTTCTCACCTGTAGTGTCGACACACCTTGAGTTCTGTGTGCTTTCACTGAAATATTTGCCTATGATGCTGTCTGTATCCCACTTTTTCTTATATGTTCCTAATTCAAGTAGCATCTTACTGCACAGCTATGTGAAAGGCAGGAGGGTGGGGGTTTTATAGTATATTAAATATAAGTCCAAATCCTGTGGACCTTACCCATCATTTCCTCACTCCTTATTCAGACACCTTCCCATTGGTCTGAGGACTAGGAAAAATGGAGGAAAATCCTTGTGATTTGGTTCTCATTTTTAATGTAGGAAGGGTTATACAAATATATGTGTAACAACAGCCCTCTCAGCATATAGAAGGACATTTCCTCATCAATTTAACAAAAATCCTCTTTCATTGTATGAAATAGTGACTAGTGCACATCACATGTTTAACTGTAAGTGCAGACTTTGAGTTTAACATTTCCCAGGGGCCTGGATGGCAGCCATGCGACCATTCAGCAGCATAATAAAAGGTACCCTTAGTATTCGGAGTAAATTTTCATGCATCTATATATTAGGCTGGTTACACTCAGCACTGGGGTGTTTAGTTTAATAAACCTAATCTAGGGATGATCTAATACAAACAAAATATCATATGCTGTCAATCAAATTACAATTATAATTACACCTCTACCCTGATATAACGCGACCTGATATAACATGAATTCGGATATAACGCGGTAAAGCAGTGCTCCGGGGGGGGGCGGGGCTGCGCACTCCGGCGGATCAAAGCAAGTTCGATATAACGCGGTTTCACTATAACACGGTAAGATTTTTTGGCCCCAAGGACAGCGTTATATCGGTGTATTTCCTATGCTGTGAAATGCACTATATTAAAAATTATTCTTTCCTAAGTCCTAGGAGTTGGCACTTTGCACAACCACTTGCATGGGCTTGGGACTTGGGTTTGACTTTTGGCTGAGAGATGTGGGGCATTATTCTTGGACCTGGATTCTTGCTTTCCCTCAGAGAGATCTGCAGAGGTGACACGCTTAGTCTCAGGTGGCTGATGTATTGAGCCCCAGACACATACCCGCATGGATCTCAACACTGTATTAGGGCCTCAGTGTTCATTTTTATGTTTGATTGAGCACCGCTTGATGATGTCCTTTTTTAGTGAAGTCTTCCCGAGTCTAGTTCAGCAGGGAATTGTTGGCTGTGGTTTGGTCTTTGCAGGAAGAAGGGAAGCTGAAGTAAGAAACTGGGAGAGTAGCAGGACTCTAACAGGAGCACAGAAGTTTCTCTCTGGGGAAAATAACGGCAACTGGATAATTTATGAAAAAAACTGGTTAAAATTTCTCTTGGGGAAAAAATGAAAGGAAAAAATTAGGAATAGGGACACTTGTGTCTTTGGATTAGCACCAGGAGTTAAGGAAGGAGTGTGGTTTAAGGAAGTTTTTGACTCGAGAGGATGGCCTTTAGATGCACAAGAAGAGAGTGGAAGAGGGCCGTGCTGGGTCAGCATGGAAGGAGGCACAAAGACATGAGTGAGAGATGCTCTTCTTGTGTCCTTTTGCTGCTTCCTAGAACACATTAACCAAAAAGTCAACTCTGACAAATATCAATTGTCATGTAGCTGTTGGTTACAGTTTGTTACTAATGTATGTGTCACCCATAGTGTGTGGTCCCATTTCTTCAGTACATATTGCTTTCTGTAAATTCCAGGACCGAAATCAACCTGAAGTAACTGATAAGTACTTCCACGATGTACCTTTTGATGCCCACTTTGTCTCTGAATTGTCTGATTTCCACTTGGTGAGCAGCATGCCAGGAGTGGATGGATTTACTATGAAAGTGGATGCTCTCTACAAGGTGTGTTGCATGAGATGCACAGTACCACAAAACAAACTTTGTTATACAGACAGTCCAAGATACTTTGTGCTTTACAGACTCTAGGCCTGACCCTGCATGTATACAAGTCCAACACACACTAGAGCAAGCCTT